CGGAGAGCAGATTTCCTCAGCACATTTCTGCTCATAACAGTGTTAATAACTCATCTCTAATAACTGATTTATTTTCTTTTTGTCATGATGACAGTAAATAATATTAGACTAGATATTCTTCAAGACACTAGTGTTCAGCTTAAAGTGACATTTAAGGCTTCACTAGGGTAATTAGGGTAACTAGGCAATGGTAATTCGGCAAGTTATTGTATAATGATGGTTTGTCCTGTAGACTATTAGGAAAAAATATAGCTTAAATGGGCTAACAGTTTTGTCCTTAAAATGGCTCTTTAAAAATTAAAAACTGCTTTTATTCTAGCTGAAATAAAACAAATTATATTTTTTCCAGAAGAACAAATATTATCAGACACACTGTGAACATTTCCTCAATCTGTTCAACATCATTTGGGAAATATTTAAAAAAAGAGAAACAATTTAAAGGGGGTGAATAATTCTGACCTTAACTGTATACAATTGTCTAATTAAACGATTTTCATAAAAGAATATTTTTTTATTGTTGTTTATTTGTTCTTCAGCATGTCGAAGTCGTTCGGTCGGAGTTTCCGCATCGATAAATCTAAAGGTCTGCTGGCCATAAAGGTGTTCAGCTCCTGGGACTATAAAGTCAGCAAGAAGAGTTCAGTGAGACTGCAGAGAGCGAACATCAGCACACAACTCAAGGTCAGAACACACACACACACACACAAATACAGATGTATACACAAAAACACTCTCGCACACACGCAAAACACTCACACACACACACACACATACACACATATATGTACAGGTGAAGTCAGAATTATTCGCCCCCCTTTGATTTTTATGTTCTTTTTTAAATATTTCCCAAATGATGTTGAGCAGATTGAGGAAATGTTCACAGTGTGTCTGATAATATTTGTTCTTCTGGAGAAAGTCTGATTTGTTTTATTTCGACTACAATAAAAGCAGTTTTTAATTTTTTAAGACTTATTTTAAGGTCAATATTATTCGCCGCTTTAAGCTATATATTTTTCTTGATTTTCTACAGAACAAACCATCATTATACAATAACTTGCCTAATTCCCCTAACCTGCCTAGTTAACCTAATTACCCTAGTGAAGCCTTTACATGTCTCTTTAAGCTGTATAGAAGTGTCTTGAAGAATATCTAGTCTAATATTATTTACTGTCATCATGACAAAGAGGAAATAAATCAGTTATTAGAGATGAGTTATTAACACTGTTATGATTAGAAATGTGCTGAGGAAATCTGCTCTCCGTTAAACAGAAACTGGGAAAAAAATAAACAGTCTGGCCAATAATTCAGGGGGGCTAATAATTCTGACTTCAACTTTATATTCATTCATTCATTTTTTTCAGCTTAGTCCCTTTATTAATCAGGAGTCGCCAGAGTGAAATGAACCGCTAACTTTTCCAGCAAATGTTTTACGCAGCATATGCCCTTCCAGTTGTACCCCAACACTGGGAAACACCCATACACTCTTGCAGTTAGTCAGACACTTTTAGAATAGAAGCTGTCATTCATTCATTCATTCTCACCATACTCACAGTCTTAAGCCCCTTTCACACAGTGATACCGGTAAATATCCGGAAAATTTCCGGAACGACTTTACCGGTATGTTCAAAAAAGCGCTGTTCACACAGGCGAGGACGTTACGGAATTTTTCCGGAAAAGAGCATTCTCACATCCATTCCAAAATACTGGTAAATTCTGACATCATTCACCACAAATGAGCTTTAAACGGCTGCGCTTGTATTTGTAAACATTTGACTACATTACAAACTCTGTTGATGATCAATATTGTAAACAACTTTCACAGGATCACTTTCTTATGTCGAGATGTTCATAATATGTGCGTGTGGAGGCACTCACAGGCTGTTTCACAGGCGCACGCAAAGCTTGAAGGTAAACAAACAACGGCTTATCATAAGCATCTCATCGATGATTATTTACACAGTTGGCATTAAGAAGAACATATAAACGTGATCTGACTAACTTCTAGCAGCTAAATGTGTCTGGAAAAATATTCAAAGGCTTTTATCCTCACAAACCGCGCGGACGTAAATGCGTCTGACTGTTGTGATTGGCTAAAGCAGACGTCTCACGTCAGCACGTTCTAGACGTGCACGCGCTTATTACGGGAATCTTCCTTCTGCATTCACACAGCGCAGCATTCCGGCAAATTGCCGGTAATGTTACAACTTCTCTTTCCGGAAAATAGCCAGAACGAATTTACCGGTATTTTTAAAAAGGACCTGTTCACACATACAACCTTTCCGGAAAATTGCCGGCAATTTTCCGGAAAGGTCTGTATGTGTGAAAGGGGCTTTAGTCTCTTTTTAATCTCATGTTGATTCCTCAGCATTCTCGTGGGATATAAGAACGGCATCTTAACTCAGTCTTTCGGGAAATGGAGTTGCCGTTTAATGTATAGTAAATTGGACTCATTCAAAGTAGCGTCGTTGCACAAAAAACTGTTATGAACGCATGCTACACTCCTGACTGTACAGTGTGTTTTCTCTTTCTTATAATGCTCAGAGTTTTGAGGTTTTCATTTGCCATTCACTGACAGTCAGACAGCCTCATCCAGTTCATCAAACTCCGTCTTTTAAAATCAAAGTCAAAAGCAGTCTCCTCATAAAGCTGGCGTATCAGCGTGCAGTTACATTGAAAACATGATTCAATTCGTGCCTTCTGATTGGTTCTCAGGACTTTATGGCTTTTTAGGCGTTTAGAGGCTTTTGCCATTAAACTGTTATTTCTGAATGTGCTGACGCTGCGACTTAGATGATTAGAAGCAAATCTATTTGTTGATGGCGTAGTACATGCCTAAAGCATAAAGTGGCGTTTAGCATGTATATATATATATATATTAAAAAAAATAGGAGCACCAGCCAGAAATTAAGAGCACCACTACACATTTTACAGTATCAGATGAATTGCGTTTGAAATCAACACTAATCAAAAATAAAATAATCTGCATGCGCCCACCGGCCTGGATAGCATGAACTGAGCTGACAATAATTTAGCTGCTGTGTTCTATTAGCTGCTAATCAGCTGTCTGTGTGTGTGCAGGAGCTGGTGGCAGAAGTGAACCGTCAGGAGCTGAAGTCTCCGCTTCTCCAGAGGTTGTTCCGGATCTTCATCCACATGCTGGCCTGGATCATGTGTTTGGGAAGCACGCTAGCATCTGTGCTAGGAGTTTACTACTTCTCTGAATACATGCACAAGGTACGAGACAAACAAACACACACTTGATATTGCTTTGTGTTCCATTGACAGTAAGTGCATGCAGAGCTGAGTTGATTACTCATGAAAATTAATCAGTTATGATTATAAAGTACATGACAATAATTATAAAGTTTGGATTTTGTAGATTACTTTTGAACTACTTTTTAATTACATTTAGATTACTTTAGTGCTCTTGTAGATTACTTTTGTTTTTTGTAATTACTTTTGGATTACTTTAAGATTACATTATATTACTTTTGTGCTCCTTTTGTAGATTACTTTTGGATTACATCTTGTAGATTACTTTGTTTTTGTAGATTTACTTTTTAATACTTTTGGATTACATTATATTACTTGTGCTCCTTTTGTAGATTACTATTTTATTTTGTAGATTAATTTCGGATTACATTAAATTTCTTTAGTGCTATTGTAGATTACTTTTGGTTTATGTAGATTACTTTTGGATTACATTTGATTACTTTTGAGCTCTTTTTGTAGATTAATTTTGAATTACATTTATATTACTGTAGTGCTCTTGTAGATTACTTTTTGCTCTTATCGATTACTTGGTTTTTGTAGATTACTTTTGGATTACATTATTTTCTTCTGTGCTCCTTTTGTAAATTACTTTTGGATTTTGTAGATTGATTTTGGATTACATTTAGATTACTTTAGTGCTCTTGTAGATCACTTTTGGTTTTTGTAGATTACTTTTTCATTACTTTTGGATTACATTATATCACTTTTGTAGATTAATTTAGAATTTTGTTAATTACTTTTGGACTACATTTGGATTATGTTATATTACTTTACTTTAGTGCTCTTGTAGGTTAGTTTTGGTTTTGTAGATTAATTTTGGATTAGTTTTGATTTACATATTACTTTTGTGCTCCTTTTGTATATTAGTTTTGGATTTTGTAGATTACTTTTGGATTCCTTTTGGATTACTTTAGTGCTCTTGTAGATTACTTATCCTCTTGCAGATTACTTTTGGTTTTTGTAGATTACTTTTGGATTACATTATATTACTTTTGATGGTGTGTGTGTGTGTGTGTGTGTGTGTGTGTGTGTGTGTGTGTGTGTGTGCAGGATCTGACCAGTCGTGTGCGCTCAAGCTCCTCTGATTCTCTGCTGAAGGAAGCGAGTCTGCTGGCTGTCCCAGTGCTGGTGTCCAGCATTAATCTGCTGCTGCCGGGATTCTTCAACGCTGTGGCCTGGATGGAGGAGTACGACTCCCCCAGTGTGCTCAATTACGTCTCCATCAGCAGGTAGAGTATAATGTTTCTGTGCTTTGTCTGGTGTGGTTTTAAATAAAACGCATTATTATTTAACTTACAGTGTGAGTTCTTACAGTTTATTCGGCTTGGCACTAAAGGTCTTGGCACACTGAAGTCTGAAATATTTGTATGCCTTTATTTCATATTCATATCCAAAAAGTGGATCACGTACACAAATGCGATGCGTTTTAATTAATCTATTTCAAAGAAATGCAGAACATGTGGAGCAGTGGTACTTTGTTCTCCTCTTCTTTAGTGTAGAAAAAGAGGATTAGGCTACATAATGTGCATAACATAGGGATAGTAATTAGAGAGTGAGGTTTTGAGCTGGTGTGTGTGTGTGTGTGTGTGTGTGTGTGTGTGTGTGTGTGTGTGTGTTCAGGAACCTGCTGCTGAAGGTCAGTGTGTTGGGTGTGTTGTGTTTCCACTGGCTGGGTCGTGTGGCGATGGACCCTCAGATTCTTGGTCTGCAGGTGAGTTTCTGCATGCTTTTTGCTGATGGGTGTGTTGTGTTGATTGTGTTGTGTTGATTGTGTTGTGTTGATTGTGTTGTGTTGATTGTGTTGTGTTGATTGTGTTGTGTTGTGTTGTTGTTGTTGTTGTCAGTGCTGGGAGAGTTTTGTCGGGCAGGAGCTCTACCGATTCCTCCTGATGGACTTCATCTTCATGCTCCTCGACACTTTCTTCGGAGAGTTTCTGTGGAGGTTCGAGACTCTTACCTCTCTATTTCTTTACAGCAGAAGATCTTGTTAAAGGGGAAGTTCACTCAAAATCACCCAAAACCCACCCACGTCAAACCCAAAGCCTTTCCTATATCTTCATAGATAATCTTTAATTAACATTATTTAAATTGTTTATTCCTTATGATTTACAATTTTTAGAATTGTTGCTGTAAATGAGGCTGATTTGATTATTATTATTATTAATATTATTATTATTATTATTATTATTATTATCAATATTAATATCATTATTGTTATTATTATTATTATTATTGTTATTATCCATATTGTTATTATTTTTAATATCAATATTATTATTATTATTATTATTATTATTAATATCATTATTATTATTATCAATATTGTTGTTGTTGTTGTTGTTATTATTATTATTATCAATAGTATTATTATTATTATTATCATTATTATTATTAATATCATTATTATTATTATTTTTATTATTATCAATATTATTATTTATATCATTATTATTATTATCATTATTATTGTTATTATTATTATTATTATTATTATTATTATCAATATTATTATTATTATTATCAATATTATCATCGTCAATATTATTATTATTATCAATATCACTATTATTTTCGTTGTTATTATTATTATTGTCATCATTATTATTATTATCATAATCAATATCAATATTATT